CCACGAATAAGCTCATGGGGCGGAAGCGACACTTAGTCCTTTTAATTGTGACTTGTTAGGCTATCGGTGCCGTCCAGATTAGATTTCTTTTCGTCCGTAAAACTACCTATACCGCTTCACCGTCTTGCAATACGTAAAAAGAAAATCACTGCAGATTTCTCAATAGGTTCGTGCCAATGTACTTCTTAGTGCTTTTCGACATATGAGGTGCTACTTCCTTGTCAGTAGTTGCATACCCCAGATACAGCATTATGAACTGACGTCTGTGACTCGAACAAACTCCTCCCAGTTTTCTGCTTTCCGCGTAGAAGCCTTAATGTGGCTGGATTTTCTGACGAATTGAACATCCATCCATGTCTTTTAAAGTTGTGCGGTCACTGACTTTTACATCCTGGTAACTCTGAACTTCGTTTTTTTTTTGCCCCAGTACTTGCGCTTCGTCTGGCATGGAACTGCAGAGTGTACGAGAAAGATAAATTTATCACAGCCTGTATATAGGCACCAGGCACAGGAACCGTATAAAATTAACCTTGGTTAAAAGCAATGTATTCTAAAAAAATTGTTTTTGTTTTACTTTGAGATTCACCAAATATCAGCACACCTCCCATAAAAAGAGCAAGTAAAAATTTGAAGCAAAACCGTTCACTTCAGAGATATCGAAGAAAATTAGGGTGAGCCAACTTCTGGGACACACTATATATAGTAACAGAGAATAAGACCTAAAACAGACCTTTGCGTTATTGATGCCAGCTCCCTCAAATGATGGTGGGTCACCGCTCGTTTCAGATACGGTCAACGCATCAACTGGGTTCGAAATACCACCAGTATCACGTTTGTCCAGGAATAGCTTGTCACCAACGCGATGAGCAACAATATCCCATGAGTATACCTGAACAGTTTTAACGATCAAATCAACTAAAATTGGAGAAGCTGTGATATTAATTGTAGGAAATATCCGAGCCTACGAAAAATAACCATACCTATTAGATTACAAATGCAAATGCGATCTAACCCAACAGTCATACCCATGACTGTCCTGAACACACCACAAAATTATAAGTGTCGCTTCCAACGAGTTTTCTAATTTTATGCGAGGTTTTTGGATTTGTTAAGTTTATAGCGGAGGGCTATTGGATTTGTAGTAGCACAGTAGTTTACGCTCCTACGCAAAGCGTAATGAACGCAAGCTTACATGGTTTGATATCGGCAGCACTGGTTAGAAAAAAATATAAGTTTGCTCAACGCTATTCCGAGATGTTTGAATACATGAATGCGCCATATACTACTGTGTAATTCATTGTAACTTTTTGAATCTATTTCATGGCATTCGATTCCTAAGGAAAACTCCACAATGTGAAGAAGAGGAAATAGCGAGTCGAAAGGCACGTGGTTCCCTAACCAGGAAAGGCATTCAACTTCCCATGGAACTTTGAGATGAGACCCAGATATATCGATAGAGCTTCAAACGCTGATTACAAATATGGAAACTAAAACTGCAAAATGAACCTGCCAAGGAAGTTGTGAGCAGTCAAAGTTGGCTGGAAGTAAAGCATTACACTAGCCTTTGGGCTTTCAAAGTCGCCGTGGAGTAGTGGTAGTGCTCGGAATTTGCGCTCCGACGGCTGAAAGAGATGTGGGACTCTAAGGGCCGTGAGGAGTGCGAGGGCACCACCACATCTCCGCGGAGGCTCTGAAAGCCGGACGGCTAGTGTAATGCTTTACTTCCAGCCAACTTTGACTGCTCACAACTTCCTTGGCAGGTTCATTTTGCAGTTTTAGTTTCCATATTTGTAATCAGCGTTTGAAGCTCTATCGATATATCTGGGTCTCATCTCAAAGTTCCATGGGAAGTTGAATGCCTTTCCTGGTAAGGTCCCGCAAGAAGCTTATTCACTAAACAGTGGGGCCTACACGCGTGTACACGCGCCGCTCGGCGTCTTCTAGCACGTCACTCATAGACGCGTATAACTAGTATACCATAGCATGATAGAGAGGTGAAGATGGAACGTTAGCACTCAATAGTGCATCACCTATGAGATTCACGTCAGTGCGGAATTCAACGAGCGAGTGAGGGATCCCATCTATCGGATTCTCGATCGTTTCTCATAGTTCTTTCCGCATCACCGCACAACTCCACTCTCAACTGTTAATTCAGATGAGCCGTCTTTCCGTCGTGAATTCCGCCCTTAATGAGGCTATGCTGCTGTCAAGAGTCGGTACACTGAATCCACTCAAACCCCTTGACTCTCGCATCATATGGGGTGCCCACATTATCAATGGTAAGTTGTGGCAAACTTCAACAAAGACGAAAGCTTTTTGCCTCTCCGATCATGCTTCATAGAGAGAAACCTCCGTGAATCAGGCTTTCCTCAGTTACACACGCATATGGAAAAGTAAAAAAGTGAGAACTTTTAATGTCCGAGAGCTCACCGATCTAGGTGCTGTCATAAGGGTTGCAATGATGATGTCAGTAGCAAAAACGTTCCCTATTCCTTGTTGGGCCAACTCCTCTATGACTGGGTCTTCCGTGGTAGTAACATTATAGAAGTTTGCCACCGCATCGTTGCAAAGTAATCGGATTTCGGCTGATACACGTCAGATGCCTGGAAGTGCAGTTAATTATAAACATGAAAGTGGGTTACATATGCATGCAGGAATGGTGGACTAAATAAACATTCTGTTGGAAAATCAAAAAATTGGGACACGTACCTTGTCGTAAAAGTGCAGGGTGCCATACAAATGTTTGCCAATGTCTTCGCCATTACCTACACCAGGAAGGTTGAGTTTAAGAAGGCGAGGGAAGTCCATTTCTTCTATAACTTGCCATTCCGGACGGACTTGCACCGATGGAAGGCGATCCTAGACAAACACTTGGAAGAAGTGATCTTGCGAATCCAAATGATAAAGGGAGTCAAAAAGGAATGTGACTATAAGGTTTGCCAGCTCCCATTATGTAAAAAAAAGTTTTCTGTTTGCTAGAGGCAAAAATTAAGAGACATGGCTTTTCGATTTCGTACATTTTGATATACATCCTAATAAAATGCTTGGGCATTCAGACCTCGAAACCGGAGAAGGAGATCAGAACTTCTTATCATCACTCCACTTTAATAACCACAACATTGGTGTCTCGGTTTATCGTAATGTAGGTCTACATGTATGTCGATCAGCATTTCAGTCTGTATGCAGCTAATGGAATAAACCAACCGACAGCATAGCGAGCCTCAAGGGCCCGCGATATCTATGCTTCACGATATCGTGATTGTGATAAACCTGCAGCGGCTATACATGTGAACACCGACCGATCATTCTTAGTCATTCCACAAGGTGCTGCAGGGGGAGCTGGAGGGTTTGGGGAGAGGAGGGAGGAGAAGAGAAGAAAACCATCTGCTGTGAACTTGAGGACTAGCTAACATAGCTTTGAGCACCTGAGCAACGACCATCGGACTTTGAGCGCCTTCCTTCGCGATTTTTTTTTTCATTTTAATAAATCCGATTTCTCACAACCCGCGACTAATTAGGAAGACGCAAACTTGTGCTTAAAGATCGTACCCTTACAGTGAGCTCTTGAAGTCCCACTTTGAAAAGCAATTCAAGTGCTCAAATGCCTAACTTTCTGCTGCAGATTTGTCGAAAAGACTGCGCTGAGAAGGTCAAATATTGGCGACACGAAAGCCGTGTTTATTGCAATAATAAACCTTCTACTAAACAGAACGGTTGATACCTACCTTGGGCCTTTCTCCTGGATAACGGCCTCCAGGACCTCGCTGTCCTTGACGGGCATTTCCTCCGCGGCGTTGCCACATTTTGAAGGCACGCTGCTGCTCTCTAAAAATGAATGACCCTCGGTCCACATAGTGAAGACAATCGTGGAAAGAATGACAAAGATATCCGAACCACTAACTTGGCAATACTTCGTTTCATCTTCAGATTTTGCCCTTGTAAGGCTTGCTCACGCCTTTCTTGGTCTTTTTGTAGCAATTTTTTGAATTGTAATTGACGTGCGCGGTAATTACGTTGTGGATTACGTTGCACAGGCTTCGATGAGTCAACCTAAAATCCAAATATTTCTCTTCCTTTGCTAATATGCATGAAAAATTTTATGATAAACGTACCAATTGGAAGTTGTTTTCATCCATACCGTGAACGTAGTCAAACTGACTACCTGCATTTGCGGCAGAGCCATACATTCTCTCGTTGTATCTGCAAAAAAACACCGATTTCCCCATTAAGTTTCCATCTAACCCAGAAAAAATGGAAAGTACTGAAAAGCAGCACAACGCTTGGAACTTGCCGTACCGTTCATTTACTCTCCGATAGAAAAATCGATCCACTCCAATCCAATCAGCAACACGACCAATTCGATCAGCCTAAATCGGCGATTTACTTTTGACGCTTATGAATAATTGTCTCTGCCTAGGTGGTTTCTGCACGAAAATGGTGTCCTATGGCAGCATCGAGCAAGGTAAACTGCTAGAGGAGGATAGCAGTGTAGAGCTCATTACAAAGAAGGCACAAGCATGGTGACAAAACGGTCGATTTTAAACCCGACAGGTCGAAGCAACATATGTACTAACCACACCAATGTTTACCCGTATCCTGAAAAATAGTTTACAATTATCACTCAAAATGAACTCTTTTAAGTCAGTTGCCTTCAATCGGTTTCTATGAAATTATCTAAGCAAATGAGAACTTTCAAAATTTCATGTTGTGCATTTCTGCAGCTTGCAGCGATCCAGTAAACTGTATGTTTTGCACTTCAAACTTTAGTATCAACCACATGGGACAGCCCGCTATGCTAAGATTGGAGATTCAGCTGGTCACTCTTCGTTCAAGATGAAGTATAGCAAATTGGTTCGGTAATCAAATATATCAAAGTACATACGTAGCGGCGGCAGACAAAATCTGGCGGTGACGTCCAAGCGTGAGATCTTGAATTACAGCTTGATAAAGCTATTTTCCAAACTGGCTTGGTGTTTTTTGCTTGAAGAGCCTACAGATACGGAAATAGTGTGCGGTGTGGATGACGAGGCTAGGAGATTGAGATGTGGACTCAAGGCGGAACGAAATAAGAAAGAACAAACGAAAGCGCATCTCACTGGCTCCCGAGTCTGGCCGGCCGACCTCCGAATGTCCAGCTGGTTTTATAGAGAAGGCTGGGTCCGCTTCGTTCCGGTTATTACGAAATCTAGCTCCAGTGGCTTACAACCATGCAGACGCTGCCGCAATTGCACTCATGATTTCGCTTCGTGGGTTAAGGGGCAGTGGTCAACCAGCACGCGAGAGTCCAGACAGAAAGCACATACTTCATCTCTTCTGTGACTAAGCCTTTTGGAGGAGGAGAATAAAGCAGCTGAAATAGTGTGCATATGCGAGAGTGCCCACTCAGTAACACTGCAAACATGGGCGAGACAGACCCAGCACTCCGGTCTGGGTCAGGCGTGCGTTGGAGGAGATCGCGAACGTCGCAAGGGGGGGGGGGGTCGTATTGGCCCGCTGGGTGGAAGAGATCGAGCCATTTTGATGCAGTGGGATCATCACCGTCGGAAGACAAATATCAAGGATGAGTCGATGCCAGGCCAGAGGATTTCCAATGAAAATGATATTTCACCCACACAAAATTTTCGTGATTCTGAGGCGTCCGGTAATTCTTAGTTACTTCAGTGTTTTATCACCACACAAGTTAAAGAATCTGAATTTCGCACGCTTTCCAAGAGATATTTCATCTTTCAAGTAAGACCCCGAATCGGAAGGGATGTGAGGTACACGGCGCATCCGAGAAAGGGTCTAGTTGTTGCGCGCGCTTCAACTACGGCTCCTTGGACAAACAACCTCAATTCAGGAACAATCGAGAGAATTCTGAAAGTGTCCGTGCGCATTTACAGGGAGGTGTACACCATTCAACATTGCGTTAACGGACTCTTCAGGGTTAAATTTATAAACATGTAACCTTTAAAGTTGAGAAACGCTAATCAATCACTTTTCTTAGAAAGAGAAAAGCAGTGATTCCAAATCTGCTCTTAACTTTAGTACATAATCGCCCTTAAAAGGATATACAGCCGTTGAAATAGTGCCAATGTAGCGAAAAAGTACCTTTCGGCGGTACTCGTGCAAAATCCTCAACGTAGCCGTTTTTTTAATACTGGACGTTTGGAGCAGTTCTAGTAAGCATTTGATAGAGCAAATCTTCTAGTTTATGATGGCGTATTTACTTTTCGGATTGGATGAGTTTGAACGGAGTTATGGCTTTAGGAAGTAAAAAAACTCGCACTCATCACAAATTTTCCTCGTTAATTTTGCAAAAATCCTCAACGTGGCCATTTTTCGAATACTGGACGTATAGCTGCTTAGCAACCGTTTGATAGAGAAAATCTTCTAGTTTTGTCTGCCATATTAACTTTTGAATTTGACGAAAATGAAGCAAGTTATTGCTTCGGAAAGTGTAAAAACTCGTGCTCATCTCGAATTTTCCTCGTTAATTGATCTAAATTTGTTATTTCTTATAACTTTTTGTAATTTCAATACTGATTAGAAAAAGCTCTTCACAAAACTCCCAAATCTGCTTTCAGATTGAAAATTCGTTAACTTTGAAGAAAGTTATAATCATTTGAATATTTGTTCAAATTTCAATAGTAAATAAGCTGCTCCACGGTCAACGCCAAAGTCCAGTCAACACACAGCTGGCGAAGGCTTTTACAAGGCTTCCTTTCGAGCGAAAGGGGAGCCGATGCCCATCGGATGGACGTGTAAATTGAGAACCATAATCTGTGTAGTACTAGAATTTGGTAAGTCTTGTGGAGGAAATAAATAAAGAAGAGATGTTGTCATAGTATGCCATTTTTAGTGCTAGTTTGTCGTTTTTGGTCTGTTTCTCGTTTGCTCGTTTGGTAGGACTCATCAATAATGATTATTCTTTGACTTTTTCACTTTTGTACTTCTTAAACGAATTTTTTGTGTGGGCGGTGGGGTAGCAGGGCTTTTTTATGAGCAGTTTTGGGGGAGAATTAAACAAGCTTTTCAACCTTTTCATAGTTCGGCTTTTGAAGAGGGTTGTTTCATGGACTTCGGCCTCCGGCGGAGGGTGGGGGGGGGGGGGCGTGGGGGTCGTATTTCCAAATTTTCCTCAACGCCTCGCTGTGACAATGCTTCCAGTTAACCGCTGCTTTGGATGTGATCGTCTGTCACGATTGGAGCTGAAACGGAAAGGCGAAACCTCTTAGGCTACTAAAAAGGGCGCAATACTACCCCCTCCCCGCCTGTCTACTACGCTTGAGGATGGATCAAGTGAGCGTGCCTAATCCCGGACCGTGCCTTTAAGTGACTCCCGTCCAAGTAGACCAATGAGGGAAATGACGATTACTCACGCTCAACTAGGCTGAATTGAGATGTTATGTCCGCATGGACACTACCGTTCTGCTCTGCTAGGTTTTGACGATTACTGACGAGCTGTTTCGTTTCGGTTGATTCAAAGATCAAATTAAATAATTCGCCGTCGGCCACTATCGATATGAGCTCCCGCAGAACTTTCCGGCCTTCTGCCCTGCTTTTCCTCTGCATATTTCAAAAGTGTCGCTGCGGTTCCAGCCTGCTATGCGCTATTCGTCGCATCGTTTGACCTGATACTTCTAAACATACATCCATTCGTATAACTTCGTATAACATACGCCTTTCCACAATACCCGACGAGCCTGCTCACTGTCGTGTAACTGCGCAAGCATAATTACGACACTAATTCACGTTCCACCTTGGCAGAACTCTCACACAATTACTCAATCAAATCATACGATTCTCACTAAAAAAATTCTAGTATATCACACTTTCAAGGAAATTTTCCTCCGAAGGTTTTGACTGCATTTGCAGTCAAAACAAATAACTGCAAATCGAGAATGCATGAGGTACCCCAGAAACTGTACGGAAATTGCCTTTCCTGCGAATCACTTCAAAACTACATGGCCACTTATCCGATCCCATGGAACGAAAATATCAATTGAGTGAGGAGGAGAAAGTGGAAAGAGTACGCATTCCAACTCTTTCCGAAATGCATGTTGCCACTAAAGTTAAAAAAGGATATAAACCACAATCAGAGAAGTCTAGCAATCTCTAATCAAAAATTACTTAACATCTTAAAATACACAGAGACACCAAGCTTACTTCAGAAAATTAGCCAAAAATGCCAAAATCGAAGAAAACTGAAGTTCTTTCGAGATAAACTTTTGATGTCTCTTCAGGCAAGTCAACATTTAGATGCTGAAGAAGCTCAGGGACACCACTACTAAGGAAATACTTACTTTGTTGTACTGCTGGAACGGAATTGATGTGTCCAGAGCGGGTGGATTTCCAAGCGGTCCCCATCCGGTTGGGTTCGCAGCCATATCGCACAAATCAAACTTGGGTAACGCCATATTCTTGAAACTATTTAGTCATTCGGTAAAAAAAAACTAATGTGGACATAATAGAATGACAGCATTCAATGACATAAATAATTCGCGTCAATTAATAAAGTAATCTTTGTTCGTAACAGCTGGTGAAAAATTAAACGCTATTCAAAGACCATTTATTTAGCTATGCTCAATTGACCTACAAAATCATGAATATGTTTTGATATAATTCGGGTAGACAATTAATCTGACACTTTGATAACGCCTAATGTGAAGATGAAGTAATACCATCTTCAAAACCTAAAAACATACATAGCTAGCGCCGCAACCACGTTTGAAGATCACCTGTATGTGTCATACACGACAAATCAACGAGGAAACAAAAAAGCTATTGTAAAATGAAAATACTAACAACGAAGCACTACAATCGCCTATGCAATTCAAAGGCTACGGGAGATTGAAAAATGAAACATAGGTCTTAAATCTGTTGGAAAGCCCGATGTAAGCGATCGAAAGGGATCACAATGCAAAACGGATTCGATTAGGAAGCAACAAATCAATTGTAAACCTATGGAATTTCCATATCAACCATGGAGCAGAATGCTTTGGGACTAGTTTATTTAGACTTATGACTGTAAATCGGCACTGTTAGTGGAGGCAACTTTTTTCCTTGGAGAATATCAGCTGCTCGTTCCGCCATCATAATAACAGGAGCGTTCAGATTGCCACTCACTATTGACGGCATAATACTGGCGTCAACAACCTAAAATCAGAAGCACTCCAAGAAAGAGAAATGAGCGGCATAGAAAACATCAGATGGAATAAAAATCTGCACTGCAATCCCTCCAGTCTTTTTCAAAACCTTGTGAGAAACTGGCACTAGCCCAAAGAATGAGAGCTTCCCTATTGGAAGAGATATTTGTAGTTTAAAGTTTAATTTCGATGGGACGCTATGACCTATCTTTTATCGATCTTCGTTCTTTTTTCTTCAGCTAAACTCTGGTTTCGTTTAGGTTGTATTTCCGATTATTAGATACGTGAGTAGGACAGCTTCATTTATTCGTCTTGGTGTGGCTGGTTTGCCAGAAACTTTCACAATTTTACGCGAATAAACTGCTCCAGTCTGCTTAACTAGCTCCTGTCAACCTCATGTGTATGCTCCACTGTGTTCAATGAACACTTTACGGAAGTGGGAAACTCTTCCTGAATACCTTCACGGCATATGAATAGCTTATTGGTAAGGTAAACAACCAGAATATTGCTTAACGAACACGCAAAAAAAAATCCCATTTAGTATTCCATGCCCCTTTCGGGGCCAAATTCACATAAAAGTGAGGCGATGTCCCCAAATTATCAGCACAGGAAAATTAGTGAAATAGCTTTCACAAGGCACGTTCGAGATAGAACAATACAGGAAGTGAACAAACAAATCACTTGAAGAACGAGAATAATGAGCAAAGGATGAGTGGAAAAGAATAAGGATAAAAGAATGAACGATAGTAGTAAGACTGCATGCAAACGTGCCGCTGTAGTCACGATTCTGATACTCTCAGAATTGTTTTTGAAAAAAAAGATGAAATTTACCTTCAAGTTTTGTGTGCCATGAACAGTCATCGTCTCAGGATCAACCACTGCCATTTCATCATCTTGCGAGCCCATTTTGCAAGAACAGGATGGATGGTATGCAGATGCGGACATTTCCCTAAACACTAACATATAAAATTATCTATGGGAAAGCAATATTACAAAGCAAGAGATTTGAAAAATGCTGAACAACCAACTTGACAAAGCTATCAATCTGGGCGTCCGTTGTGACGTCCTTACCAGGCGATAGCTCCTCACCGCGGTATGCGTCGAAAGCTTTCTGGGCAAATATCTCGCGCGACAACCGCACACATTTCCTAAAAGAGGGGACCATCATCTTTCTATGCATCGACTTCCGCCCTCCTAACCAGGAAGGTCTTTCAGGGCGTGACGAGCTTTTTGAAAACGGTCTTTTGCATGATATAGGGGCAGATGCGGGGACCACAGAACCATGTTTAATTTTTCCTGAACGGCCCTCTGAATACCAGAAAAGGGGGTCCCTAGTTCGATTCCTCTTGGTGACAAATTTTTGCATTTCGAGTTGACGTTCCAAAATTCGCGCAAAATGGAGTTCTGATTGTTCTGGTTGGTTCTAACTCCATTTTGCGCGAATTTTGGCACGTCAACTCGAAATGCAAAAATTTGTTACCACGAGGAATCGAACTAGGGACCTCCTTTTCTGGTATTCAGAGGGCCGTTCAGGAAAAATTGAACATGGTTCTGTGGTTCCCGCATCTGCCCCTATATCATGCAAAAGACCGTTTTCAAAAAGCTTCGTCACGCCCTGAAAGACCTTCCTGGTAAGGGCCTAATGCATTTCTTCCGAAATTTGTTTCGGAAGCACTTTGAGTTCATGTTGCAACATAGGCATGTTGCCCTCAATCATTATCCTCACATTATCCACGCAAAATTGGAGACGTATGAATCCAAACAAAAGAATGAACCCGGGAGTTTTGGATTCCAGCACAGTGGCTATTGATGAAATCATGAAGTTCACGCTCACAGACAAATCTCGCGATCACACAGATGTTCGTGAGAGAAAAATATGGGTAGTAACGAGAGTAGATGAGAGTATAAATAGACTTCATAAGTCTGTTCGGAGAAAGTTCAGCAGACTAGGAAAGCAAATTAGCTCAGCTTCCCAAGCTCCTATTGAAATATACACCTCATTTCGATTGGCCGGGTTGACCCAATGACCTTTCCTGGTCGTTTAAATAAGTTTCAGTAACGCTTGCGCAACGAGCTTGCACAGAAGTTCACCACCTCACTTGCACACTAGGTGGCACCCACCTGAACTCCTTCCAATCATCGTCATGGTTGAGATAATTCGGATCAATGATCGGTTGTCGTCTCGGGTCGTTGGAAGCCAACCTGATGCACCCTTTTGATTTCGTACGCATATTACCCACGTGAACCTAAAGATAACTGTAAAAGCAACTGCTGGAAGAGAAGATATTCATCGACTTGTAAGACAGAACCTACCTGAAACGCGTGACAGTGACCTACTGTTCGTCCATCATTGTGGACGGTTGACGGCAAGAAGTGGAACTGTATATCAGGATGCTCGACTGTGTCTCGTGATCTTGCAAAGCCTCCCGTTTCCAAATGACTTGACGCGCCCAGACCTTTTTGTGTAGCGAACCATTCTAGAAAACGATTTTCTAAAGGTGGACAGACATTTGTAATTTACGAAACATAACTGATTACACACAGGAATGAAGCATTTCTACCGCATCAACGATCATTAACGCGTATGACCAAATTTCCCGTGACAAAAAAGAAAAAGGTGTTCGTATTAGGACATAGGTTTTGCTCATGGAACCCAACAAATCATGAGAAAAATGATCCATAAGTTGGTTTTCGCATTTTGAAAAGCAATTCCGAAAGCTCGAGATCTTTTCAATTTGGACTTGTGACGTATGGTTAGGGAACAGCTCGTAGGTACAGTATGATTTCAGGTTGGTAGAAATCTTGGAATAAATGGCTTTCTTGATGTTTTGCCGGCACATTTAACATGAAACAAAATTTCACTACACTGCTCCTGTAGGAGGGTGAAATTCCAGTAGATGATAACTTTTGAAGACCTTGCAGGGTCAAGTGTGCCTGGAAAATCTACGACAAAAGTTCAAGTGCCAAGATCCACACTAAACGGCAGCTTGTTCGGGAGCGTGCACGAACTGCGACTAGCGTTGGATGTCGAGTGCATGGCTCCGTCTTGAACGAGTGGATCA